GGGGGGGGAGGGTGTCCCAACCCACCGCCCACCCTGAGCCTCCCAGCTTCTACGCTCCTCTGCAGCTTCTCCTGCCTTGAGCCCAGCAGACTGCCTCACGCCTCCTCTTCTCCTGCTTCTCCTGCTTCTCAGCGACTAACTCCTGCAGCCGATTCCCCTCCTCGGCGCTCAGCAGCCACTAACCAGCTAGTTTCCACCAGTGACTCGGCTTTACGCCTCAGCGCCCCCCCGGCTCCGGCTTCGCTTTGACCCTCGCCGCTGAGCTCAGGCCGGCTGAAGCACACAAGTCGCGTACGGAGCAAGTTCATCTGTAAAGCCTACTTGCGTTTTAACCAAATATATATATATATATATATATATATATATATATATATATTTCTCATTCAGCTTCTTCTTAGTTCCTAACTCAACCAACTTCAGATTTATTTTATCCCCCAAACCTGTTCTGAAGCCGGAATGGAGCCTTTAGTCCACTGATGGAAAGGAAGCTATTCTGCTTTTCACTGTTCCCGCCTATTCTTGCTCATCAACCGCGGGACCCGCAATCCCATGAGTCTTTGCTTTTGCAGCTTCTGAAACATTACGTCTTCATCGACCACATTTTACGTCATCTTTTGTGTGTCTTTTCAGCTGAGTTTTGTCTGTTTGTTCTTCTTTTGTCTCTGGTGAGGTGTGTTTATTTTAGTAGCTCCAAAGCTTCTTAGATCTCCTACGTTCCCTCTGAGTCCTCAAACGCCCCGGCCGGAATGCCCTCTCTATACCCCTCCTGCCTTCGTCTTTCCTTCGTCTCCCCCCTTCGAGCCAAGCCACCTCACCCCTTCCTCTCTCCCCTCCCCTCCTCCTGCCTCTTCTCCCTCCATCTTTCACTGTCCTTCTCCCCCTTCCTCACCTTTCCTTTACTTCCTGCCTGTCGCTCCTCTTCACCCTTGCTTTTTAACCCAGCCGAACTCCCCATCTCTCCCCTCCTCCCCTCGAAGCCCTTCTAGCTGCTCCTCTTTCTTCTCTCCTCACCCGTTTATTCCTCATCACTTTCCTGAGTCGGCCCTCCCTCTGCCCTCGTCTCCTCCATCTCCATCTATTTCTGCTCTCGCTCTTGGGCCTTCGCGCCTATCCCTCTCCACCTCTACTCCTTCCTCTCCCACCTTCCCTTCTCCTCCTTCTTCTTGCACCACCATCTCCACCTCTACTCCTTCCTCTCCCACCTTCCCATCTCCTTATTCCCTTCCACCTTTGCCAGCTCATATCCCCCTTTCTCCTCCTTTTCACTCCCCTCCTCTCCCCTCTCTCTCTTTAACATGTGCCTCCTCTCCTCCTCCAGATCTCCCCCTGTCTTCCCCTTCATCCTCTCCCTTTCCTTCTCCTCCACCTCATTGTTCCCCGTCTCCTACCCCAAAGCATCACTTTCCTACCCTCCCTTCCCTTCCCATCTCCCCTCCACCCTCCCCCCTCCCTCCTGGTGTACCAGCCTACTTCAAGCGAGATCGTTCTTTTGCTGAATTCTACATTAAGCAACTTTTCTCTGCCTTTTTTTTGAAATCAACACAACTAAATCTATCGGTTTACTGCTTTGAGCTTTTGCTCATACGTTAGAATTAAATTATTATATAATTATTGAGACAATGAGCCAAGCTCAGGGTTGTTTTAAAGGGCTGAAACCCGTCCTCACTAACTCTTGTTGCATTTTACTTGTCTAAAGTCTGGGCTCGGCTGACTACAACACGTCCTAACGGGCCCTTTGTGGCAATAGTGTGGCTGATGTTCATGTAATAGGAATACACATACAGAACAAGTGAAGTTTCTTCCTTTTCATATTCTGTCTTTGGTTTCTGTCCCCATGGTGATGTGACCATGTGTCTTCTCTGTATCGCTGGTCCAGCAGTCACACAGGGATCCTCACACGTGGAGATTCCTTAAAGCAGCGTTCTTTTTTTTGGGTCACTTTGGGGCAAAACCTTTGAAAACACAACAAAAGCTTGAATTTAACAAGGAGCTGCTAATTTACACATCCAGCAAATGAGAAGCAGCAGCATTCTTCCGGAGTCGTGTTTCTGTTCCCCTTTGCTTCTGAAAGTCAAAATTTCTCTTTTTTAACTCCATTTTTGGTCTCCACCAACTACTGATGGAAATATCTGTCTGTTTATCTGCTGAGCGATCTACTATGTTGATATTTCAAGTCGGTGGGCACCAAAAACATGTTTAAAGACAAACAGTGGGTTCAAATTCATCTGCTGGACTCAAATACGACTGCAAACGAATGATAATGTTTCTCTGTTATCTGCTTGATGGGTATTTTCAAACATATGAGCTGCATAAGGGCTTCGTATGAACTTCATAGAAGCTTCATATAAGAGATAACATGTCAGTGTTGTGTTTACAGCACAGAAAGACGGGGTTACACCTGTCTGACTTTTGAACAAATGTTAGATGTTACAAGTGTTTCTCATTTCATCACCTCCACCACTCAACCCTTCCCTTCCTCCTTCCTTTCTCCCTTCCCAATGTTTTTTGTCTCGCCTCCCCCCTTCAATCCCCTCACCCTTTAATCCTTTACTCCTGCCATCCACCTAGGATACAACAATATAGATCTGGAGCTGCAAACCCCCACAGACCTGAACTTCCAGCCCCCCACTCCGCTTCGCTCAGACAACTTCTTTAGCGATGGCGAAGCTAGCGCAGACTCCCCTAGCAAGATCACGCTAACTAGACCTAGCGACCTCTCCCTCACTCAGACCACCAGCACATCTAGCAGCGACCCACCCACAGTCGCCGCGGGCCCCGGCTCCACGGCCCCGCAGCCCCCAATCGTTGGGGCTGAAGACACAACCTTGACCACCCGAGAAGAAAACCCGGGGCAGGTTTATTTCGAGAGGCCGGATAATGACAGGAGGGCGGTGGAGCAGTCAGGGAAGGGAAGAGACGGGGAAAAACCGAAGGGGGGGCAAGGGGTCGCTTTGGAGCGTCAGAGGGAAGACGCCGCCTCGCCCACCGGTCACAGAAATGGAAGGCAGGAAGAAGAAGAAGAGGAGGAAGAGGAGATGACTCCGGAGAGGCTGCAGAGTCTGCTGGACGACATAAAGCAGGAGGGAGGCTCCGAGGACGAGGAGATGACAGAGGAAAGGATGAAGGAGATCCTCCATCAACTTCATCAAGCAGAAAAACCCCTGTGTTCAGTTCCAGGCTGGAGATGCGAGACGTCCGGCGGCATCGCAGAGTCGGCTGCTACCGGCACCGAGGAGGGCAGGTAGGACGCCGCAAAGTATCCACACAGTCCGGTGAGTTAACGCAATTGCTTTTTTCTAATTTTATTCCGCCCCGCAGCCCAGACAGCCTGGCTGATTTGTCGGAGCTGAACGTGGGCCGAAGCGGCAGACACAACGGAGGTCACGGTGCAGACGCGGAAGAGGAGGAGGCCAGGAGGAAGGGCTCCCAGGGGGGCGGCAGCACAGCGGGGCCAAGCGGAGGACGGCAGGAGGGAGGTGAAAGGTCACAGCACAAAGCCCAGGTGAGAGTTGCTCTCTTAAGGCGAGCTGACAGTTTGATTTTATTCACTTGTTTATATTTTGTTTAAATGTACACACAAACATGTTTTTTTGATATAATAATGATCACATAATATAGCATGTAAAGCCTTCACTTCAGATGTAATGGGATTCATCTTAAGCTTTCCACCTACATAAATTGAAGGCTCACACACACATTTGCTCACTGACATAACAATGCTCCTGGGCCGCCCTCGTCAGGGGAGCGTTAGAGCCGAGGAGTCCGACTCTGAGGGGGAGACCACTGTCACCACCAGGGTGTACCGCAGACGAGTCATCCTGAAGGTGTGTGGACCTCCAGCCCGAGTGAACTTGCATAAAGCCTTGAGACTCGAGTGTGAAGAAGAAAAAGTCGTGTGCCGGTGTGGGTTTTGTGTGTTTCTGCACATCTTTTGTTGACGTGGGAGTGGCTTTGTGTGCAGCTATCATGCTTATATCATAGGGAGGAGAGGTTTCCATCCACCCGGGGGAAGTCTGATGATATCAAAAGTCAAGACAACTGATTTTAGGCCATGCTGGAACTATACAAAATAGTGAAACCAGATTATTCATACCTAAATAAATCGTGACCTGGTGTGGTAGTGAAAATGATTTTTGAATTTTCTTAAAATTCTGAAAAATATTCAAAACATGTTTTTAAAAATGAGAATCTATATCTATAAATCTATATATAAGTAATAGTAGTAAAATGGGAAAAATATTTTCTGTCACGTTACGTCATCCTGAACATTTTTATAAAACCCAAATTACTCAAATTAACACCATTCATCTTCACCTGGTACATAACAGCAGTGGATGGAAACGTGTGTGTGTGTGTGTGTGTGTGTGTGTTTTGCCATAGCATGAGGTGGATCTCACTCGGCTGCTGTTGGTGCTGCTTCTTTGATTCGCTGGTGTTATTGTGGAACGACGCACGTCTTTCGTGTTAGAAACTGAGGGAAAATCGTCAAACAAACTACAAAGCTAGTTTTTTTTGGAGGGGGGGTTTGGACACATCTGTTGGACTTACAGCACAAAATGATCTTAAATTAATATTTTAAAACGATAAACCATAGCTTGTGTAACTTGTACGGTGACAGGCGCCTCTGTGTTTTTAAGTTTATGAAACAGAACCTCGAAGAAGACTTGTTTTGTTCTCCCAGCATCCAAAACGGAACCAGGAATCAGGAATGTTTCCTGATTCCTGAAGGTTCTTTATTTTCAGGATGTTTTTGAGATAAAACTCCACTTGAAATATTCTTTATTCATGATTTGAACAGAGGGAAACCCAATGGCTGTCAAGGTTCTCTGTAATATAAGTAACAGTCTAACAGTTGGGCTCTCAAATCTCCTCCTGAACGCCTCCACCTTTTCCCCCCATCCTTTAACCCTCCATCCCTCCGTCTCAGGGGGAGGAGGCCAAAAACATTCCCGGAGAGTCTGTGACGGAGGAGCAGTTCACAGATGAAGATGGGAATCTAGTCACCAGAAAAGTAACCACCCGCACCTTCCTCCATCACCTGTCGCATCTTTATCCTGCAACACACACACACACACACACACACACACACACACACACACACACACACACACACACACACACACACACACACACACACGAACATACGAACATCCTCATCCCCCCCCCCGACATGTTCTGCCCCCTACAGGTGATCAGAAAGGTGGTGCGCCGTGTGTTCAACACAGAGGAAAGAGAAGGCGAAACTGTTGCTGCTGCTGCTGGTGGCGCTGGTGGTGGTGGTGATGCTGCAGCCACTGCTGCTGGTGTAGTTGGTGGAGCGGGCGCCGCTTCTTCTTCAACAGGAGCCGGGGGGGGAAAGGGCAAGAAGAGGGGCAAGCGCTCCCGGCAGGGCAGCAAGGCTGAGAAGTCTGGAGAAAAAACTGAGGTTGGCGTAAAAAAAAAGCACCCACCTGCAACCTCCGCCTCCCCCGCCGCATGACGCCGCGATCAATAGAAACACGATGCGCTGCTGATGCAAACCTTCCTGAAGTCCTGTTCAAATGTGCGCTGCCTTTGGTTGATAAACGCTTATAGGAGACGTTGGCAACGAGTCGGATGTCCGCATCACTCTGAGCGGGTTCTCAGTTTGTTGGGTGCTAACAGCCTGCACACACACGTGTGTGCGTGTGCTTGTGTGTGTTTTCTTTGTACCGCAGTGTATCAGTAGAACTTTCCCACCGCCATCCGATTGGACTCACTAACACTAATACACTGTGTTTCCACTAATATAGAGACAATGTATTGACGCCTGTGTGAGCTCCTCCTTTTTCCTCGTCTCTCTTGCAGCATGAAACCTGTAGCCGAGCTCAACAGCAGCTCCACTAGCACCAAGCTAACTTTGGTTTTCTGTGTTTTTCTGTCTTCTCACTGGCCGCCTCACTCTGCCAAGCCCGGAGGCACCAAGAAACCAGGCAAGAAGAGTCAGTCATAGCAGCGGAGCTCCGAACTACACCAGGTGAGAGGCGACGTGGCTAGAATCTGCTCAAGGGCATGAATACCTACAGTACATGAAATATGCTTATTCTTGCAGTGACACGGGGAATCTGCTTAATCTAAATCGCAGCAAGATAGCATATTCATTTGTTCAGAAAGTGTCAGATAATAGTAAAGAAATAACATGTAATTGGTTCATAAAGCTTTTGTCTGATTAACTGACAAATATATTAGCTTACAATTACATAACACATAAGAAGCGTAAGTCTTTCATGAACCTTATGAATGATTCTTATTTTAGTTTTCATCAAAGATCGACATTGTCCACTCTGCCTCCAGGTCCACTGACGTCCACACAAGCACCTCGGGAGGAGGACCGGAGGCCTCGTCCATCGGGCCCCTGCAGCCCTCCCTCACTGCGCATGGTTCTCCAGCGGGACGACGCAACAAAAAAAAACGAATAAAAAACGAGTTACTTTTCTTTGATTTCGCATGAGCATGTCACCGAAAACTCACTCACATGTTGGAAAAAAAAAGGACACGTGAGCTGGAGCTTCATCGTGTCTTCGGCACAAACGAGGAAGACCGTAAACTGAGGAGGAGGAAGAGGAGCAGGAGGTGCGACTCTCTGACACTCGCCTCGCTCGCTCCTCCTGGACCCGCAGCACCGTGTGGTTCTTTTTTTTTAAATGAAATATAACAATGAATGGGGGATTTTTTGTTGTTGTATAGAAAAGACACTGTATAAAATCTTTAAACAAAAACCAGGAGGAATCGGTAGCTGGAACGGATTGTTTCTGCACTGACGTGAGTTGATGAAGCTTCGTTCACATTGAAAGGGTGTTTGAGCGGCATCGAGGGCGCGACCCCTGAAAAAAAAAAAAAAAAACTTTGTGGGAATGAGGAATAAATGGACATAAAAAAACAACCGCTTGATTTGGATGGAAGGACGTTGGTTTAAAGCCGACAGCTACTCCCGCTCTTTGTCTCCAGAGGGACGACCGTCTGCTGCATGTGACGTCACTTTACTTTATTGCCTTTTATTTACTCGTCTTTTAATCAACTCAAAGCACTGTAACGCCATTAGAGAGACGGCGCGTCGGTTCCCGTCAGCACTCGTAACGCATCAGTTTTTATTTTTTAACACAAATGAAAAAAACGCACTCGTGCTCCGAATGGCAGAACTTCAGGAAGTACCGACGTTCTCCCAGAAGGCGACCGGCACGTTGTTTAAGTGTCTATCTGTAAACCCATAACGCGTACTAGAAGTTTAAGCTTTAAGATCTGCTGTGATTTTAAAATTTAAAAAGAAATCTAAAAAACATTGACGGTTTGATGACTTATCTTTATCTAACAGGTTCTAATGACACAACAGGGGACTCTTTTTAGACCCATTATCCAAATACTGTTTTTATTAACTGTTAAATCACAGTATTGATCACACGTTGTTCTGTGTAATTTTTCAGTTTGTCTTTTTTCATACAACCCCCCCCCCCGAGCATCCTTTGTTGACAATGAATCTGGTTCCAACATGTATGACAAACCAACATAGCCTACACTGGATGACCCAAGTAATTATTTAAAACAGAAAAATAAACTGTTTAAACTGAAAATCTGAGTTTGTTTTTGTCACATTCATTTTCGCCTGATAAATCCTCCTTCTCAGCATTGGGAACTAAGAAAACTGCTTTACGGTAAAAGCATCACTCATATGAGAGGTGAGTTGGTAAATTAACAGATTGAAACATTTGTGTTTTTCCATAAATTGAGGCAGTTTCCTGAGAAAGCATCTTCATAACAGCGTTAACTTGTGAAACTTTTGCAAAAAGCCATAAAACTCACTAATAGTTTTGCACATGATGTTGTGCAACGTCCCTCTTGTTGAATAATTTGGGCCATAAAATATAAACAACATTGGCAATGGTTAAAACCATTAACAACAGTTAATTAACTGGTCATTTTTGCATCCGAAGATGTTATTTAGTACGTGAAGACCAAAGCGCTATAAAGCGGTTCTACAACGCTGAAGGATACAAAGATCCCTCTGAACAACAGCGGAGAGAGAAGTGAACCAGTGTAGATAAAAATAGGAAAAGTGTTCCCCGTTACCCAGAACTTGTGGGGCGCGTTTGCTTGGAAAAATCGCCCAACGAACATTAAAGACTCGTCAGCTGCGTGGACTCGCCGCCGCGAGACTGAGCGCGTCTCTTCGGGCCCTCCTTCCTGGCGCGCGCCCCTTCCCCCTCGTGCACGCCCATGTGCTTGGTCAGCGAGCCGCTGGCCCCGAAGCTCTTGCCGCACACGTTGCACAGGTACGGCCTCTCGCCCGTGTGGGACCTCATGTGGATCTTCAGCGCCCCGCTCTTGTAGAACGCCTTGTCACACACGGCGCACCGGTGCGCGGACTCCCCCGTGTGGATCATGGAGTGCGTCTTCAGGGTGCCCCGCTGCCTGAAGCCTTTCCCGCAGACGCTGCAGAGGAAGGGTTTCTCCCCCGTGTGGATCCTCATGTGGGCCGTCATGTACTCTTTGAAGCCGAAGCTCTGGCCGCACACGCTGCAGGCGTAGGGTCTCTCCCCCGTGTGGGCCCTCATGTGGCCCATCAGGTTTCCGTTCTGGGCGAACGCCTTGCCGCAGACGTTGCAGACGTACGGCTTCTCCCCCGTGTGCGTCCGGGCGTGCATCTCCAGCTGCTGGTGGCTCTCGAAGCGCTTGCCGCAGACCTCGCAGTCGTTGGTGCGGACGTACGTCTGCAGGTGGCGCCTCAGGCCGTCGTTGGACTCGAAGCGCTTACCGCACACGCCGCAGACGCCGGCGTCGCCCTCGTCTTCCTGCACGTGCTTCAGAAAAGAGGCTCTGTAGCAGAAGTACTTGCCGCAGACTTTACAGCTATATTTCAGGAGCGATGGATCCTTATTATCCTTTTTTTTAGGTCCTCTGGGTTTGTTCGACCTTTTGGTTTTTGAATTTTCTAAACAAGGTCCGTCTTTGGTCTCGCCGAGGTCGTTGCCGTTACTTCCCTCGCCGCGCCCCCACTGCTCGTCGCTGCCGCACGTTCTGCCGCCCGCTATGCCGCTCGCCTCGGGACGCTCGTCCTGCGCCTCGTCCCCGCGGGCCTCTTCTTCTTCGTTGTGGGTTTGTAAATGCGTCTTCAAGCTCTCGTCAGGGTCCAGATGTTTCCCGCAGGCTCCACACAGATCCGAGGTCTCTTCGTGCCGAAGTACGTGTTTCAGAAAAGAGCGCTTGGAGCGGAAATGCTTTCCGCACACTCTGCAACGACTCCGTCCGCCAAGTTGGATCTTGTTCGCCGCAGAAATTTTACCTTCTGTTTTTTGGATTTTCTTCCCAGCCACACCTCTGAGGGAAGACCTCCCACACATTCCGCAATAATCCTCAGCTCGATTTTGCCTCTTAGATATTTTTCGCTTGTTTGATTTGAGATGTTTCTGGTCTTCACTCGCAGCTTCGGATTCGTTTGATGACAGCGGCTCGTTGTCGCCCGGTGACTGCGCCTCCGTGTGGGAAGGTCTAACGCGGATGAATTCGCAGTCGGTCTCCGTGGACGCGTCTTTCGTCCGGGGCAGACGGGAGGTTTTCTGATCCTGACTGGAGGTCTTGCTCTGCTCGGAGGAAGTGTGCTTTACGCAGTTTGAGCCGGAGAGCGGCAGTGTGTCTGAGGAGAAGATCGAAGAGAACCGTTAAGGTGGAAACACCGGAAACTAGAATAAATACAAACATTAAGAACCGTACACTATTTTCTCTAAATTGCATCTGCATTGGCCACCAAAAACGAGTAGTATTGTCTAATTGCCTGAATGGAAATAGTCATTAAGATACTAGGGTTAAGTGCACAACAAGTTCAAAATTCATTTTATAGATTCTAGCCAATGAATGACTCAATGATTAAATAAACTGTATTTTGATTAAAAATGAAGGATTGCAATTATCAAAGATAATTTAGATACAAACCACCAACTTATTGTATAGCTTGGCCTTAGTTATGCACCCTGCTAGGTTAAATGTTAATGACAGAACAAAAATGTACCTGTCCTGGGTACATTTGTCTCGGTTTTCAACAACATGCTCATGAGCTGGCGTTTACGATCAATCTCCTCATGGGAACTCGCATCTTCCGTCTCGTATTCTCCAACCATCTTCTCCAGGATCCTAAAGATCTCCTCGACAACCGCCGACAGCCGCCTGTGTACAGCCGCCCTCTGCTGCTCAGGTGACATATCTGGTGGAATAAAGAGGAAACATGAGCATCATTTTAATATTATCCATCCATCCATCCATCCATTGTCAAACCGCTTATCCTGCACACAGGGTCGCGGGGGGGCTGGAGTCCATCCCAGCCAACTTCGGGCGATAATTTTAATATTATATATATAAAAATAAAAAAAACATTGTAACCCTACTGGGTGCATCATTATGAAAGCAACTTCTTTTACCTCCTCCTTTTATTTTGTTAACATAAAGAAACACTTTCAGTCAATATTATGAAAGCTGTAATTGGGTTTTTATATGAAATCCTGGGTAGAATATCAAGTAATAAGAAGCAGCTCTTTTACCAACATAACAAATATTCATAATTTAATAAGAAATATGTTGAAATAGCCCACTGCGCATATTGTGCAAAACTTTTGACAATACTTTTAACTGTAACCAAATAATTTTACACCCGAGTATTGCTACTTTTACTTTCAAAATTCAAGATTCAAAGATTTGTATTGTCATTTACACACTGAAATTATTGTGCCTTTCCGGAAAGCCGACCAATTTTAAAATTAAAATAAAAATGAGAAGTACAAGTAAAAAATCAGAGTACTTCCTCCAGACTTGAACAGTACCTCTAATAATCAAGTGTCGCGCATAATAACAAACTGAAAGACGCCGGACGTTTTTGCAGCAGAAAGTGACGTCACGTAAAAGCAGCTGGGCTGCTTATTTAAAAACAACAAACCCGACTTCTCCTCCAGTATTTCCTCAGCGACCGCCGTCAGTCTCTCGGCCACCAGCGTCTTCACCACCCGCAGTTTGGACATTGTGGACCGACGCGATGTGTGTCATCGGCCCGGGAGCATCAACCGCACCCGAAGAGACACTTTTAACACAACGACAGCGCTGCTGGCGGGAGCGAGACACGGGGCTTCCGGGTTCGTCTTCTTCGTGTGCGTCAAAAAGCCGACGGTTGGCCGGGAAACAGCGCCGCCACGTGTTGGTAAAATACCATTACAGTGTTTGGGTGTCAGACCAGCGGTGGAGGAATCTTGTATTTATAAATCCTGTGTCAAAAATGTGACTTACCAAAATGTAAAAAAGTACTGAAATCCTCAAAGTACCAATATTAAATGTTTATCATAATGAAGAATGCATTAATGTGTTCAGCACTTTAATGTTGCAGCTGGTGAAGGTGAAGCTAATATTACTTTTGGTACCAACAGATGAGTGAGTAATAATCCACTATAAATAATACTGGTACAGGATCACTATATCAAAATTAGATATCTGCATTTATGAGTAAAATATTTAATCTAAAAATGCTTTGCATCATTAAGTCTTGAAAAAACAACACAGTGCCACCGTTTTCCAAAACTCAGTGTTCGGAGATGTTGTGTGTGTGTGTGTGTGTGCGTGTGTGTGTGTGTAATGTGTGTATTCTGCCTAACATTCACAGACAAATATTGAATGTTCAGCTCCCCCGGTTAGCTGCATGACGTGTGTCCTCGCAGCATCAGGCTAAAGGCCGCTGCCACAGTGTTGAGTTAAGGATTCGTATCTCAGTCCTTCTTTGCCAAATCATTGCCTTTTATACATACAAGGTTATACAATAGATAAAAATGGGAAAGTAGATTTTTGTAAGGGGGGTCATGAGTGTGTTTCTGTTAAATGACTCCACTGATTGAAGGCGACAGAAATCCGTAACCAAGAAATTAGGAAAAAATGACAGCTTCACACCATCATTTTAATTTCTTTAATCCAATATCACAAATTGTACTAAACAGTACAATTTTATGGTACTTGTACCTGTGGTTTTTTTAACCTCGATCCTTGTGAGAAATAGCATCTATGCATATATGTAGTATTGCCAAAAGATAGATCCAATGTGACGAGTAAACACATTGAAGGAGTAGAAATAACAGAGAAGGTCCGTGTTGTTTTTACTTTTGATACTTTGCTGTTAGTTATATATTCAAATACGCATTTGAATGCAGTGTGTGTTCTTTCATTTGATATATTAATACATTGAGGTACTTTTACTTCAGTAACAACAATGCGGAAGCTGTTTACTGTTTGTGATTGAGCGGATAATTGTGTATTAATTTTAAATGACAGTCCTGTCAAAAATGAACCAAGTCATTAAATACATTTTTGAAGATTTTTTATTAAAAATATTCCAAACATTTTCAAAAATACTTTCTATAACATTTAAAATACATTACTAATACATTTGAAATACCAGGTGGAAGCAGTGAGCGACTGTTTGTGTCTGAGGTTTAACAGAAGAGCTGCATGTGTTCATTTGTCCTCCATCATAATCATAATTCATAATCGGTCTTTGCAAGTGCCACCGGGTCGCTTCCTGGACGGTGCTTTCACAAAGTGCTCAGTCTCCAAGTCACAATAGCGACAATTTCCCATCCCACAGGCCTTTTGTCCTCCTGAAGATCAGCTAATCGGACGAACGCAACGAGTCCACATTCTCCCCGCGGTTAGTCCTCATAGTCCCGAGGCCACGCCCCCTTCTTGCTCTGCAGGCCCAGCGCTCCGTTCACGCAGTACGGCACGATGCTGACCACCACCAGAGGCACGGTGGCGCTCTTGCAGAAGGACAGCAGGTAGAAGAGGGCGGCGGTGTGCGTGGGCGGCTTGAAGGAGTCAAAGAGGTGCAGCAGCACCAGGGAGGCCACCACGCAGCCCACCTTGCTGCTCCTGCCGGCGCTCCTCTTGGCCTCGGCGTAGAGGGGCGAGTGGAGGCCCAGGCCCAGGCCGAACAGGGTGCCCATGTTGCGCAGGAGGCTGGCGAAGGGCGTAGAGTCCAGGTTGACCCACTCGGGCCTCACGCACCACTTCTGGGCTTTTTCCAGGGTCCACAGCAGGTCCACGCCCACGGACCTGAGGACCAGGTAGAAGCCGACGGCGAAGGAGGTCAGGAAGAGGGTGGTGTAGAAGTACTTCTTCATGCTGGCGCTGTAGATCCACTGAGTTCTGTTGAAGGCTTCGGCCACGATTATACCTGCAATCCATCGATACGTCAACATCAAGTGTAATACTGAGAAATATACGTAGACTAGTGGGAATACGTTGTTAATGTGGACTTTTTTTAATTCTGATTGATGTCATTTGGATTAAATGGTTTGATTTTTTATTATGTGACCAGAAATAAATAATAAATAAATCATTTGATGTTTATAACAAAATAAGCAAATAATATTACAAAAAAGAACAAAAGACAGTTGCTTCACGATTATTCCTATTAAGACTTGGATGCATTTCCAAACTGACCTGTGATGACGCCAGCAACGACCTGGTGGGGGAAGTGGGCGGCGATGAAGACCCTGGAGAGACAGACGCACACCTGGACTCCCGAAAAAAGCGTCCACAAAACAGCCTTCAGATACCTGCCAACAACAACAACAACAACATCAATCTGAAGACGTCGCAGATTTGTGAATCAAAACCCCCCGGAAAAAGCCAATCATGAAGCAATACTACTATTACCGGTGATTCTCAGCTCGTCATGAGGAATTCAGACGTCAAAACAACTCGCTCACAATCTCCCTTTTTTATTCCGAACCGATAGTCAATGATCAACCCGGCTCAGATAGGGTGTCCGCGGTGATAAGCGGAGGCGGGGGGGACAAAAAACACAACCCGCGGGGCTCCCACTCACCAGTCCTTATTGGTGGTCCTCTGGCCGCCATGTTTGTTCTTGCTGGTCATGACGACGAGGATGGACGTCACCAGAGTGTAGTAGACACTGGCTGCTCCCATAGCGTGGCCCGAGGGGCTGCCTGTGCAACGCACACACACACATGCAGATAGATAGATATGAGTGGCTGATTCACTCAACTAAAACAGAGACTCCGCCGCCCATTCATCATTTCAAAGTGACTGAATGAATCAATGAGCAACATGTTAAAGTTAGTGCTGTTAGAGGCAGCGGTCTAAGTACAACTATGAGGCACTTTATGCCTCTACTCCACTTGATAAATTCATCAGCTGCAGCTAATAGTTACTGTTCAAATAAAAGAAATCACATTTTAAGCTCAAATACAAAACAAAATGCATGACGAAAAAAACTGTCTGGTTGGTTTCAGCTGTGTGTAAATTGTTAGAAGTTACATCAAATTTTAAATCCCTCAAATAGTCCAAAAAGGTTCATTATTTCTCTTTCACGATAAAGCAGAGATTTAAGGGGAAAAAGGAACACAGTAGAGCTTTGTTTTTTCTTTCTTCCAAACTACCCAAATGTATAGAAGGTACATAAAACGGTATATGATGTACTCTGAAGTCTTTACAATGGTTAAATACTACTAAAACGTTTACACTCGTATTCCTTTATTTTTGAATGCAGGACTTTTACATTGTTCCACTGTTATCTAATGTTTTCGCTGCATCTTCCATCGCTGCTAACTGCCCGTGAGCCTCAGGTGTGGAAACAGGTTTAAGGGGGTTTACTTTGTGCCCACTTAAGTAGATTTATATGCCACCTGTGGGCCCATGTACGGCGTCTCACCTGGGCCGGTCTCACAGGTCATCGGGTACTGCTCGATGTGCGGGCGATCCCCGTCGGCGTAGTGAGCCGTCTCGTGGACCCACCAGTAAGGCCTCTCGCCGAACAGAATCCTGGAGAAGACCACGGAAACGTGCACTCCAGTTAGAGCTTTTCCATTATCGCCGATCCTTCCACGGCTTCGGCCATTCAGCACACTCACCATTTGAACACCAGGTTGAGCCAGTCTCCGATCACGGCCACCCAGATGAGCTTGATGCCCACCGACGAGCGCAGATGAAACCACAGCGGGAAGAAGATGAAGAAGGTGTTCCTGAGGTCCGCCGCCCAGGACACCCAGAGGAACAAGCCCTGGGTGTCCGCGTAGTTGGTCTGCAGGTAGCGGGTGCTGCTCACCCCGAAACCCTGCGCGGCGTCCATGACGGCGTTCATCTTTAAAGAGAGAGAGAGAGAGAAACAGGGAGAGGGAGATCTCGGGCCTGGTGCCGCGCGACAAGAAAACAAGAGTGCTGCTTATCAGTGACACAGCTGGTTGGTTTTATACCCGAGGGACCCACCACCCAAACGCATGCTCACGCTGAGCTTTGGACCTTGCACATGTGCAATAAAACACCGGGAGTCATGAGAGTTTGGCCGGTTTGTCGCACAAACATGTTGAAAACACGGGTAGGAAAACAAGATGTGAATCGGCGTCTTTGTCCGGCGGACTGTGAGCGCAGAGGAAGTCAGTTGACCAACAAACCAAAACAGATTGGGAGAAGGAATAACATTTGCTTTTCCCTGAACGGCGAAACGTATTTTTAAACAGCAGCTATGCCCCCTCTCTCTCAGTGCCTCCTTTTTCTCATGCATGAAGCCACTTGAGTAATAATTCATCAGTTATGTAATTGTGTTGTTTTGATTATTTGGTGGCGTTCGTTACATAAGGAGATCAATGATTAGATTAGCTTTGGAGACGCTGATAAAACAGACAAGTTACTGCTCTGTTGTGAGAAAAACAGCTTTGGCCGGGACGTCCCCAGAAGACCAGCTCATATTTGATCTCGCTTTGGGGACGGAATGTCGTCACAGGCCACACTGTCCCTGCGAGATTAGCCGGAATAATTGTGAGCCAAGATCAATGTATTTCACAAGTTGGAGCTCAGAACTGAAGCTCAGATTCCACTGATCAGATGATAATAATCATTTTTTTTTCCTAGAAGTCTCTCGTCTGTCAAAAGATGGCGGCAGCTGATTTCCGTAACGATGGATTTTAGCACAGTGGGCCTCAGGGGGGTGTAAAGGTTGAGGAACGTGTCCGCAACGCCACAAAGGCAAACAAATATGCTACAGCCTTGAGTAAAGTCCGATGGGGATCACACAGACGGGACTGGCTGGCCTGGGAGAGCTCGGCAGCAGAGGAACGGACCCGGAGGTTTGTGATATCATGGATCTCCTCCACAGCTGGGGGGTCGAGCTGGCGGTCCACCTGCAGGCCGCGTACGGCCGCTACGAGGGCCTCTTCGGCCTGGCCTCCACGGTGGCCGACCTGCACACCGCGTTCTTCTGCTTCTTCCCGGTCTGGTTCCACCTGCGGAGGGACGCGGCGCTCAGGCTCATCTGGGTGGCCGTCCTCGGCGACTGGCTCAACCTGGTGCTGAAATGGTAAAGACCAAAAAAACAAAAAGGCTGTTCGTCAAAAAGAAGAGTTGTTGTTTTTAGGGGTGTGTTTTCTCGGTGTTTCCGTCGGCAGGGTTCTGTTTGGGGAGCGGCCGTACTGGTGGGTCCACGAGACACGGTTTTACGGAGCGGAACCGGCCCCGTCGCTGCAGCAGTTCCCCATCACGTGTGAGACTGGACCAGGTACGGTTCATGGCTGCAGTGGATCACATGCCGAAGACGTGATTGATCCTGTTGTTATCTGTTCAGATCATTTGACGAGTGCTTGTGGCTTTTTTTGAATGAAGGTTATAAACTTCATCAATTTGCACTTGTGGAGATAAGCATCTTTTAAATTGGGGTGTAAATGCACAGTGTTTCCTTCTCTGTGTGGGATGTGGCTAAGTCCATTTAATGGAGTACTACACTTAAGTTCAAAGTTCAAATTTTACTCCACTGTGTTTCAGAGGGGAATATCAAATAATAACAAACTGTATCAATCAGCATCAATCTGCCAAGTTATATTTATTCATGTAGCACCTCTCAAACAAATAGATATTCTGGAATGGGGCCATTAATTAAAAAAAATGAATACATAACATGAACGAATACCACACTCAATAAATAGATAATGGTATAACAGTTTGAATATAGCAAAACAAAGTGAGACATAAAATACCTATAAAGAATAAATGCAATAAAGAAATATTGCATGAAATCAGACTTGATAATAAGCAATAAACTATAAAGCTATAAACTACCTGATAGCTGTAGCTGCTTGCTGGTTACCTCTGCAGAAGAAGGCTGATGTCTTAGGTCTGTTGCAGGAAGCCCTTCGGGTCATGCCATGGGGGCAGCCGGGGTCTGGTATGTGATGGTGACAGCGCTGCTCGCCATGGCAACAGAGAAGCGATGCCCTCCGCTGCTGTACAGGTGAGTCTGTGGGGAAAAGCCGTCATTCATCGCTGTGAAACATCGAGAGCAAAACTGTCATCGGTGTCTGTTCTCTGTCAGACTCCTGCAGGTAGGCCTGTGGGTGCTTATGGGCCTGGTGGTGGTGGTGGTCTGCATGTCCAGGGTCTACATGGCCGCCCACTTCCCACACCAGGTGGTTGCCGGCGCCATTACAGGTCAGTCGGGGGTGAAGATGGATATTTATGTGGCGCATTTGGCTCCAATATCAGGGATGAGGTCGGGGTTATATATGCAATAAATAACATCAATCCCCGTAAAGCTGTTCCGGAGCTTCTGTCTGACTCCTCTCTGTTTTCATGTCAGGTGTTCTCGTCGCCGAGGCTGTCTCGAAGGAGAAATGGATCCTCAGCGCCGGCATGAAGAAGTACTTCCACACCACCCTCTTCCTGACCGCCTTCGCCGTCGGCTTCTACCTGGTCCTCAGGTCCGTGGGCGTGGAGCTGCTGTGGACCCTGGACAAAGCCCAGAAGTGGTGCGCGAGGCCCGAGTGGGTCCACCTGGACTCCACGCCCTTCGCCAGCCTCCTGCGCAACATGGGCACCCTGATGGGCCTGGGCCTGGGCCTCCACTCGCCCCTCCACGCCCAGAATGAGAAGAAGGAAACAAGCAGCGGCTTCAAGATGGGATGTATCATTGTCTCCTTGTTCCTGCTGCAGCTGTTGGATGGATGGACATTTTCTCATGAAAACCTCATGACTTTCTACCTCCTGTCGTTTGGTAAAAGCGCAGTTGCACTTTTCATCCCGACCGCGCTGGTTCCCTGCGTGCTCCACTGGATTTGCAAAGGAAAGAGAGAAGACAAGAACTTCTGATTTCACGAGTCAATTATGGGTTTAATTGTCTGTAGTGAGACATTTAAAGTTTCAGGAAAATGTGCCTGGAGTTATTGTGCTGGGCTGGATATCGGTCCTTTAAAAGGAATATGTACTGTAGTTGGGTTCAGGAAGCAGCTTATTGAGGCTGGTTCTGTCCAGAGTTCCTGTGATATCGCCAAACTTATATACATATGTGGAAGTTGATTTGTGATTCTTTAAGAGAGTTTGTGTTGGGAGTATTTTTAAATTGCCCTTTTTACAAATTGGTCTTTGCACGTATTAAAGACAGAAAACACAAGGTTTCAGAACACAAGCTGCAAGGATGACCCCTAAAAACTGGATATGAGTCAGATACTTTGCACCGAAGGACCCAAAATGTGTCAATGTCATTGTGTGTTTGCTTTGTTTTCGAGAATAAAGTATTGTTTAACACACGCTGCAGAGATTTAAGTATTTTGTAAAAGACATAAAATAGGTCGGTAAATACCCCTGTGGTGAATGTTTGGAGCATGTACGTATCTTTAAAAACGTCCCAAAGAGACAACTAAACTCTAGTGGTGTCATGTGACCTTTATAGCCTAAGGTTAAGCTTTCTACTTATGTCATGAATCCTGCTGCCACGCTTGACCTGTGTGGCACTTCAGGAAGCCTCAGATGCGTTGATTCTGTCACTTAATCACGTCTGTCTTTTCTGGTTTGCATTGGGGTTTTTAAAATTAAAAACTGTTTGCTTTCTGCAATGATTTAGATTACTAGATTTTTTTTTCCAAACGCGTGCTCAACTGTCTGTTTTCTCCAAATGTTCCGAACAGGAACACCCATCAAACATTAACCAGAGCACGCTCCCGTCACTCACAGCGACGCAGCCTCCCACCACGGCTTTCAAGAGAGACGGCACGCGGGCCAAAGGTCAGGAACACAACACATGCGTCACTTAAGGCGGCGCATTCTTCAGGGCACACATGAAAGCATGCTCATGACACCTGCAACGCTTCTGATTATTTCATAAATTGAGTGTAATTGTTTGTTTTCGAATTATTTCATTCTTTTTTTCACATAAAAATGTCATTTTTACATGCACATTAAACATATTTTTGTCTACTTTTAGAGACGACCGTGCGGTCAATCAAAGTGGGAACGGTCACCATCGATGACGTAACATTTCCCAACTGCTGACCCCACGTCTCCTCTTTATCTCACAGGGCTCTCTGCGCTTATCTCGTGGAGCCGTATCTATGTGGTGCTGCTCTATGACGTCAGGCAGCATCGAGGGAGAGTAGGACATACGGGGGGGGGTGAAATCTCACTATACAACTGCTGCAGGGACATTATGCAACGTTAAGCTGTTTACACAAGTTTACATATTTGTCCGTGGTTCTTTTTCTCGATCTAATTTTATCACCACGTTTTCCTCTGGAAAAAACATTTTACATTCTGAGAAAGTGGCACGTTAGTGCTTCTTAAATGTTCTCGGATGTTCACACAAATACGTTTGGGGTCGCTAGAAAAAGGTTCTGCTGTGGTGCCGTCGGTCTGTCAAAAGTCTGCACGGATATCGAGGTGATCGTTTGGACTGGTTGAGCTTACAGGCAACAAAACCAATGACATTTTTATTTCATAGATCTATTCTAGCTTGTTTTTAGAATATTGTAGGTTATTATCGGTATTTCTTAATTGCTCTACAGAAGTTCAAAGATAAGATTTAATATATAGATAAGATATGATTTTTCTGGGGGTTTAACATTTGAAACGTTCCTATTTGTTCGTCTTTCTATACTACAGATACACAAAGACCATTTAGTACAGAAACATCTGCCCTCAAACACGTCAATATTCCTTTGATTAGCGAGTTTGAGTTTATGTACTGAATGACAGGTCGACGTTTTCAAATAATAGGAATTTTAATGCCTAAACACAATTGTACATAATGAATGCGTAAATCAACATCTGGATATTTGCATGAAAACACAAGCAACTTCTATCCAATATCAAAAATGCCAGAATAAATTCATTATCAAAAAGGTATTTTTTGAACAGAATGAATGAGGCGCTTTGGTGACTTACACATTTTCACTGAAAACGAGTAAGTCGCTGGATCTAAAAGCGTCTTGGTATTCATATGCAAGAACAACATTGTGTATGTATAGTAAAAACTAAGCGACGTTCCTCAAGATGAACGACTAATCTAAACATCCAGCGAAGTGGGAATGAAACAAACCACTTGACTGGATTATTGTCAAACAACTATAAAACAAACAATTTCACAGAGATCTCACGAAATGTTTAATTCAAAATAAATACTACATAGCGCTTATTAGACGCATGTGCGATCTATCTCGACATTTCCTTTAAAGGGGTTTTTAAAACGAGAAACACATTCATTTAAAACAAAACAAACATTATTGTACTGGGGGCCGGGTTGATTGTTCTGACGTTGGCGAATGTCTAGTTGTGGTCCGGAGGAAGCGGACCGGGCTGCTGCAGCTCAGAGGACACGGCGAGGGTGATGGAGTGACGAGGGGGTGATGGGGTGACGAGGGGGTGATGGGGTGGGGTTGGGGGGGTGAAGGCTGAGATAAGGATCAGTACAACGCGTCGGTGTTACTGCTTCGAGGTCTCTTGATCTTCTCGATGTTCTTCAGGATCATGTCGTGTAACGTTACCTTAACGGAGGAATAAAAGCGCATCGTAATCATGAGGAAATTACGGCTAAAGAAAGTTCATACTATGATTAAACATTTGATAACTTACGTATTGATTTCTGAGCTCAGAAACTATGATTTTCAGACTGATGTATTCCTTCTCATCAATCTCCGTCACTGTGCGCCGATAGTCCTCCTGATGAATTTCAAAAAATCAATGTCAGAAATGGATTCACTTAAATCTGCAGTGTGTTCTTTCTGCCTCTTGGAGTCTCTCAATCACAACAATAACAAAGCACCGGTGGCTCATCGGAGAAGTTGTAATTATTGTTAATACGTGGAGCTTTTTTCTCATTCTTTTTCAATTTGAGAGCTTGATTAGTAATTTTGTTATTATTTTTAGTAGCGACACATTTGTATTCTGTATTTTGTTCACAAAAGTATTTTCTACTTGATTCTTTTCAAATCATTTTCACTTACCACATGTGGATATTTAGCTATTTTAGAAACCAGCTTTGCCCTTGTGATGTAGTATCTAGAAGTAAAGAAGAAAAAGTTATATTCAAAAATCAAAATTTTAAATCCCTCGTTTCATTGTGCTTTGGTCAAAAAAATTTGTTTTACAGTTTCGAGAATCTCCTTCGTATCCAAGAAAAATGTGTATTTCTTGCTGAAATATGAGTGGTGATAACCAGCCCTATAAGCTCTCTATTGTGCCTCATACTTTATTAATATATAAAATGGTTAAGACCTCTTCATACCTTGATATCTGGTCGAGGTAAGATGCTGCCTCTCCTTCAACTGTTCTGAGTTCAGCTACTGTCTCCTCCTGGATTGACACACCAAAGTTGTTGCCATCTTCTATCCTCGGGATGAGCAGCTGAACCCACATTTTGACCTGCAGAGGAGCAGAAGAAGAACAAACGCCATTGTTCACCATACATTTATACATTATCTCACGCATCTGCAGGTGTAACGCCTGAAAGTAAAATAGCATCGGCGGATTGTGGAAGACGTTACTTACCGTGTTACACTTCTCTATTAATGTCCTGATCTCTGGTTTGACCTTCTCAATGAGATCAACGAGGCTTCCGTTGCTCTTCATCATCCCACCAGGCATGACAAAGACCTTGGTGCCGGTCACTTAGTGAAGAAGGTAAAGCAAATAGTAAGCACCAAGTATGTCAAAAGGAGCCAGGAGTCACGGCTATATCGAATCCGCCAATGAGTAGTAAGGAGGGTTCTACGTAAAAACCCTTTCACTCACCCTTGTCCTCTCCTCCTCCATCCTCGAGCTTTCTCTTTTTGGCATTTTGCTGTGAAACCAGATGAAAACAGGCTCAGACGACGCGTCCGCGGTATTCATCATAAACATTGAGGATTCAATTCAGCTGTACGATGGAGCCTCACCGCTTCTAGTCCGTCACTCAGGTTTGACAGCAAAATTGGGTCTGGCACCGTCAGGTTGATCTCCGAGTGGATCTCCTTCAGGTCAGCGACGTTTATGATTGGATCCTGAAAAACATCCAGGATATTAGCTGAACATTTAGAATTTACACATGAAACTCTTTCCTTTGAGAATATTAATAGAATAACTATAAACTGAAACTATCTATAAAAAGGTTTCTCAGGTAATTTATTTCATTGTAAGAGACTATAAAAGTACAGACATTATTTATCAGACAGCACTTATTTATATATTTGAGACCATACATGTGTATTTAGACAGATGACCCCGTAACTGACCTTTAAGAAGTGATCAAGCTCCAGCAACTTCTTTGGGAAAAAACTCGCAACTAAATCTTCTGCCTAAAAGAAATGAAAATATTGAGTGGCTTGAAAAATAACAGTTGTGTGTGTGGCCACAATGTATTTGATTTGAGGAATACTTACTTCTGAAGTGATACGTTCCCTGAAAGCATCCACCTGCAAACGCAAAATACGTGCAACGATCAGACCAGTTACAACAGTCCATCTGTAAATGCACTCATTTAACGCTTTCTAAACGCAATCATATACTAACGTTAAAGTGGGTTTATTTAGTAGTGCTGGAAAATAACTGAGTAACATCTACACAAGTAAACTGAGTACTTCCTTTCTCTGTAACCTTATACTTGTATTCCACTGCTAATGGGCAAATATCGAACTTTTTACACCACATTGTGTCTGATAGCTTCAGAAATTTTCCAGATTACGAGAACCATAAATATCTACAGCTTGGACGTACACAATGATGCAGCAGTAGTATTAATCCAGAAATGTAATTTATTAGTGATACTAAACTTTATAGCCATTTTCATTAGGTACCGTTATGCAGTACTTTTAGTGGCATCGAAAATTGTTCAGTGAGTTAACTAGTGCTTTTATTTAAAGTAGCGTTAAAGTACATTAACATTACTTATGGTAATTCCCCATGGACTCTATACATGTAACGAGAATACGTGTTAGGAGCTTTATCATCAGGATCCCGGTGTAATAACGGTCGCAGGATGAATCGGCTAACGAGGTGCTAGGGCGGTTTTTGGGGGACATTGGTTCCTCCAATACGACTGTTATTTTTACACAAGACGTTGTAACGTTAAACTTCCCGTTACACCCACGTGACGCTTCGGGTTACTGTGCAGACGCACCTGCCGGCGCGTTTCACGCTGTTTCACGCGGCCGCACAAGCCGGTTCACCACCGTTAGCTAATGTTAGTTCACATCATGCTACAAAAACGTGGCTAGCGTGTTAGCAGGCAAAATGGCAACAGTGCTCCTTTTAACCTCAACCGGGGTTTCCAAAACAGAAACCTTACCTTGGTTTTAATTTCATTGTCCACCTTTAGAAGTGAAGACATCTTATGTGATCAAATAGGCGAAGAAAGGATGTTCCAACAGTGTGGCTTATTTTAGCTGTCAGCCACACTTTGTGAGCTTAAAGATGACGTCGTTTACACGCGACAGGGAGAGGGAGGGGAGGAGGAGATATACCGATCCGACTGCGCACGCGCCGTGACGTCATCGTATTTTTCTAGACGCAGCTGACGATGTAAACAAGAAAAGACAGTCGAGGGCAGCGGGGATCAAATAGGCCGGCGTCACCGCAAATGACATCCGTTACCTGCGCATAAACGGCCGACATGGGGCTGCCTGTTACAATCAAAGTGAACTTCCGGGGCAACGTGAGAAGTTTCTGGCTCAGATCTGGACAAGCTGGAGTGGGAGTCCGTTGAAGCCTGGGTGAGCTGCCGCTAGCCGAGGGGCTAAACGCTGGCGCAGTTTGGTGAGAAGCAGGCCCGGACGTGGCCTGCACGCGTAAACAATAGAGCCGCCGCGCGACGCTCGCATGCTGTGGCGACGCCATGTACGCGACGTAGGGATCCTTTTGAGGATTCGGCAAACGCGACAGGGCCACAGTTTGCGATACTGTTCGTTCGTACAGTCGCTTTTTCCTCCGCGTGCCCGCAATGTGTGTTTTTGTATCACGCGCGAGCGGGACAAAAGTTCACGTCTGATATTAACTGTGGATTTGATATTTCAGATCAAAGCGTCTTTTGGAATCAACCACTTTCAAGTCAAATACTTCGATGAGGACAACGAGGAGGTAAGGGAGTGTGTTCAAATGTGTGTGCGTGTCTACCAATGGTTGGAATGTGACAAAGTACGTGTTGTGTACAATGTTTTAAAAATACACGTACTTTTTACACGTACATTTTAATACACCATAAATAATGGGGTTAATTAACTCATTCTCTCTCTTATTTCAGATTTGTATAAACAGTCAAGGTGAGGATACCACTTTGTTTATTATCACTGTTATAGCTGCTTAGAGAAAAAAAAAGGAAAAAACACTGTGCAATACTTACAATAAAACAATGATCACCAAGAAACTCACTGTTGCATTTGTTTTCATTTCAGATGAATATGAAGAAGCCATCAAGGTACTGTGACACTTTCTAAATAGTTAAGACTAGATTAAACCCAACCGCACATAACAATATCACTACACAGGTGCAAATAGCAAGAATACGGGAAATGTTAAACGTTTAAGTGACATTAGTAAAAGTCAGTTATTAATTTAGATAGGAAACAAAACACTCTGTAAGCACAATACAAAATATATCTTTATACATCATGTTTACATGATGCATCCTGTGTGGGTCCTTTAGTACAAATGTGTACTTGTTCTGGTGTGGCTGCCTCCACATTTGTGTCGGTGTTTGACGCCCGCTTTCCCCCTCAGAGTGCCGAGAAGCAGGGGAACCAGTTGCACATGAACGTGTACAAGATGAAAGGTCAGGCCTGCGGAGGCCCGCCGAAGACTGAGGTGAAGGAGCTGAAGGGAGACCTGCGCCCTGCTCCACCTTATCCATCACGGGTCAAAACGGTGGACAAGGGCACACAGGTCACCCCAGAGAGAGAAGCTGTAAGGAACCACGCCAATTCTATTCTCCTTCTTCTTCCTCCTATAACCTCTCTTAGCATTCTGCTAGTATTTTGAATGCATTGGCTTAACTATGTAGTTACAGCCTCAAATCAAAGAGGACAGTTCACTGTTATTTTTACAGCAGTTGTTTTCTCAATTTGTGTGTAATTATTCAAAAGGTGCATGTTTTTGATGCCAGCCTGATGTGTTTGGACACAGGTCACAGTGAAGGACAACAAGGGGAACAAGCCAGAAGATGAACCACCTCCGATGTGGTTTAGGTCATACATGGATAAGGCAAGATTTAGAATGATATGTTTTTAGTTTGTGCACAATTCGGCCGCGTTTGGCTTCTAATAACATAAACTCTGGTTCTCATAGTTTAAAGATGAGGTGGTGAAAGAGGTGGTGGAGAGGATGTGCAGTGACTTCTCCGGCCAGTGTTGCACCCACAAGTCTTCTGACGGGCCCCTTGAGGCCAGCGCGGCGAGCAGCGGCCCTACAGGGCCCCGGCCAGGCCCCTCCACCTCAACTGGATCCCTCGGCTACACCCCAAACTGCAGCAGCTGCAACAAACTCACCTCGGAAGGGGCGTACAAGTGCAGGTAGAAACACGGCGGAATTCAATGGGAAAGGATCCAATGGAAGCGACGGGGCTTATATCAAATTCAGGGGGTTGACGGGCGGTTCAGAAGTGTGACGCTAATTCAATGTGAACCAGCATTCTCTCTGTCGACCATCAGGTTGTGTAGAAGTAAGGAAATGACTCCTCTCTTGATTTATTTCCTCAGTAAACATGAGTTTATGGTCTCAATCTCTAGTTTCAAGTCTTCTGACATACAGCGTGAGGATTATTTGGTAAATTGAGGTCCATTTAGAGTCAAACATATATATATATATATATATATTACACACATACATACAGTCTATGATAACAATTTGACCTGCGTGTCCTTCTTATGAGTTTGTTATCTGTTTATGTTCTTTGTCCTTTGAGCCGCCTCCTCAGCGTCACGCCTCACACAGCGTGTTTCCCTTCCAGTGTGTGCCCGTCCTGCATCCTGTGTGAGATGTGCAGACACAGCCATGACCCCAGCCACAACCTTGTGAGAACCAAGACACCTCTCTCCATCCCTGAGCATGGAATGTCGGGAGAGTTGAGGTAAACACCCCCCCCCCCCCCCACCCTCCAAGAGCCGAGGATAAATCTCCCAACTTCTGGAAAAATTAAGACATTTGTATTTTGCATAAGTGCCCCCCCCCCCCCCCCCCCCCCTTCGTTTTGCTGTCACGTCTGCATAAAATGGAGGAAAACATAAATAAGAATAGATGCAAAGAAGGACTGCAGATATGTTTTAGAAGCTAGATTACTGTAATGCTGAATCATGTGTGTGTACCTGTTTTGTTCTTGGAAAATAAACTTTTGATAGTCAACAAATAGGTGTTCCTGATGACATTTCAAACCAGGTTCCCAAGGCGAGGAGACAGGACAGTGCGCAAGGCCGAGCGACAGCGCCTCAAAGCTGAAAGGAGGCAGCTAAGAGCTGAAGTGAAGGAAATCAAGAAGAAACTGAGACTGGAGAAGAGGGGGCTGCAGTGGAGCGGGCCCTCCACCTCAGGCAGAGGCAACCTGACAAACGTGGCCTCCGCGTCCACGCAGGTCCCGGCAATGTCCCCCCCCGCCGCCTCAGAAACAGCCTCTGGTCCCGCCCCCGCCCCGGTCCCCGATCCCCAGGCCTCCAGTCCAGAGTAAGCGCCTCCTCGGAAGGGCGTCCGACAGTGCTGGGTACCTCTGACCCAGCATGGATGCAATAAAGTCTTTTTGTTTTTGTTTTTTTCAAGAAAAAGAAATCAAAAATATGCCATCTTTGTAATCTAGTCTGTATGAGTGTGTCGCTGGCTGCTCTGGGGTGGTGGAAAATGTTGGAACTACCTCAATGTGAAAACTGCTGCTGCAGCTGCTGCTTTAGAAAAAAAATGCTTTTCAGCTGCAAAAAATCTGGGGTCCTGCTTTTGGCTGTTATAAGAAACCAGGGCTATTTTCAACAATGCTCTGTACACTTGAAACTAGGGGTCCCGGGGTCTCGAACACGTCCTTGGTTTCCACTATGGCCGCCTTGTTTCTGGATGAAAATCTGCCGGACGGCACCCGTCTGGAGCCCGGAACCAAGTTCATCAAGTACTGGAAGATGAGGAACTCAGGCACTATCAGCTGGACCGCAGAGACCAAGGTACCCCCTCCCACCCGCCGAGAGGACAGCTCCACACTCTCTCTGCCGCCATCCCCCATCCCTCCCCCTTACCCCCCCACTCCCCTGCTTCACTTCCACTCTGAGTCCCCACTCAGCTCATTGCCTACTTCTTCTCCTCTAACGCCAGCTACGATGTCTTACGCGGCCTAATACAACTAATGCCGCTTCTCTCCGGGATGTTTGTCATTTGAGTTCAGCTGCGTTTTGGTTTCAAGTCTTCGTCTTCATTCAAATGTGTGAGTGTATGATTTTGTGTGTGTGTGTGTGTGTGTGCGTGCGCGCGTGTTGATGTCCCTTGCCTCAAGCGATTTATTACTTTCCTGCCGGGTTATTTTGTCTGCACGTCTGTATTCCTACTTTTTTTTTTGTGTTTTGTGTGTGTGTGTGTGTGTGTGCGCGTGTGTGTGTACGTGCACCCAGCTAGTGTTCATGTGGGGAAACCTCGGCCTGGCGTCAGGGGACAGGAGGGAGGTGCCGGTCCCCTTGCTGCTGCCGGGACAAGTGGGCGTGGTCAGCGTGGCCTTCGCCGCTCCCGTGACGGAGGGGACGTACACCTCCCACTGGCGGCTGGCGCACTGCGGCTGTCAGTTCGGCCCGCGCGTCTGGTGCAGCATCGTGGTCGACGCCGGCGACGGCCGCGAGGCACTCGGGCATCAGAGCGAACGACCGGCAAGTCTTGATACCCGACGACACCCAGTACAGCCGCAGCGAGAGCCGCGACCGACTGCATCACAGCTTCATTACTGTTATTATTATTATTATTATTATTATTATTAAGTAGACTCACTCAAGTTCTGGACGCAAGTATAACCTGATCATTTTTATGCCGCTTTTATACTTCTACATTTCATCACGTACTGGTCAAAAAGAACTATTTAACCATCAACACACGGTGCAAAACAGTCAAATCAACTCATTTATCTCTCGCTATAATGCAGAGGCAGAATTAAGGTTCATGCGACTTGAACTGGGTTTATTTAGCAGTGGTGGAAAGTTACCAAGGACATTTACACGAGTACTGTAGCTAAGCAGAAATTGGAGGTATGTACTACTTGATCTTTTCGCTTTCATTGAACTCTATACTTTTACTTTTACTCAAAGGGAGTTCTTTTTTTCCTTTACTTAGCAGAATAATATTTAACTTTACATAAGATTATTAAAATGTTTTCTTTTTTTAAAGTAGTTCTAAATGCAGAGACACATTGACTGTTGAAGTTGTGTTGGCTGTATAGAGACAAAGCTCACTCCACCGGCCCCTTGATGAGCATCGATGGTTCAAGTAATCATCAAAA